TATTTAGAACCAAAATTTTAATTTTTTGGCCGGGCGCGGGCTTAACATGAAAACCACAGGACATTTTCAAAATTTTCAAAAACTGGCTCCAACTTGGCTGTAACCGGAAAATGGCTCCAACCAAAAAATGCTTAAACTTCATTATTGAAAGACGCTTAAGAGGATATTGTAGATCTCATTGGCATCTATTGTAGGATTTTTGGCATCTTCCAACAACTGAAATATTAAAGATAGTCATTTTCCCCTTAATTAAATCTGTTCTTTTAAAACATATTTTGAAATAAGGTCATGAATAATTTTTTGAAACTTTGATTTTTACAACAAATTATGACGGATATATGTGAATTCCGAGAGAAACTGCGGTATAAATAGTATTACATAAGCATTACTAAGTGCGAGAAAGTATGTGCTGTTGTACCACCACTAGTTTAAACTATTTTGCTATTTTCTTAAATGAAATTGTTGTAAGAGTTGATTTCCATTTGTAGTAATATTTCAGTGTTGGCCACAATACACAAGACGATCAAGAAGAATGCGTACAATTGGTGACTGCATATGCATAGCTGACATATTGACGGAACAGGTATCGAAATTACAATAATACAAAGCGGCTAATTGTGTTATACTGACTTAGTCATAAACTCTAAAATATAAACTTTGATACTGGTTATTTTGGAATATTTTTTAAAGTAATTAAACAGGAAAAATAAAAACTCCCGGTGTCACTTCTGTCGTTTTCTCTAAATACTAACAATCGAAAACACCTATTGTACTTTAGTTAATTGAGAGCAATTTAGGGAAAAACTTGTGCATATGAAACAGTATTGTCCTGTTACAATCTAACAAAAGGGACTTTAAAAAAAGTTCTCTTAATATGTTTCGATACAGAATATATCATTTTGATTACGTGTAATTCATTACTTCACATTATTCTATTTATAACTACAACAAAGCAGACTTCGCATATGAAGCGAATAGAAGGAAATAAAGGGAGACAAAGGAAACAATAAGCCATTCAAATAATGAAATGGGTTAATTTATGGCAAAAAATTATTACAATACATTTGAAAAATCTACTTTTAATAATGGGAAAGTTGTGCTTGAAATATGGTAACATACGAGTACGTTAACTGCAGTGGGAAAAGCTCTAAAACATGCAGAATAATATTAACACATATCAATTCATTTATATTCAATATTTTAAAATTTGCTATTTCCTGAACGAAGTCACATATCAACGAGTATTTTATGGGGTCCGGGAAAAATTGGTAGTTGCGTAAAGTGCTGGAGGAAATGAAAACCTTGAATACGTTCATAACCAGCAAGCAGAATAAGGAAATCTTGGTAGACAAAAATAAGCATTGTGCGTAACGAAAACAAAAGACTTCACAGGATGGCGAGAAGGCATTGAAAGTGTGGATCACAGAATGGGAAGGTCATAAGCAAATAAAGCACCTGACAACAATATTCTCACCATATACATTTTTGTGAGTTTAAAATTCATGATAGGCTTAATAAATCACGAAATGTAAGCTTTGAAGTAGCAAAAAAATATTTTGATGCGTTTGGAGAGAAACCCTTTACATGTTTCAAGTTTAATGTGTTTCTAGATTTATTAGTCTTTTTTTTATAACTAATCGAGTAAGGAAAATCATAAAAATATATTATTTAAAAATTATTGTTTCGACTACTTAAGTCTTAATAATTAAAGACATGGAAGCGAGAATATTATGCACATACGAATTGACATTAGATTAAAGTAATTATTAAACAAGTGTGTTTTATTTATTGAAGCTTTTTTCAGACATGTCCCCTCCTGTAAGCGGCTTAATCGCGTTTCACAGAGGTCCACCAATAAAAAACTTGAACCATGTAAACCTACTAAACTCACTAAAATGTGTAACATCATTACGACAACAACAGTAGTCTTCACTTAGCTCGGTCTCTTAGTTCAATTCTTAGGGATCTTTTAACATCACCGCCTTCTTAACACTACCATCCCAGTGCAGCAAACAGAACGTACTTCGCCCTCCGACGTCTTCAAGACCTCCCAGCCCCACCGACCATCTCGCAAATAATTTAATTAACCGCCGTACTGCAGTCTACCTGATGGAGCCACGCCCCGTAATCGCGCTCATCAAAGCGCAGACACATTCTTCCCCGACGCTTCGCCGGCGCGCGCTATTTCGCCGCTTGGCGGCGACGCCCAAAGCGCGCCCGCCCGCCGGCCCTTGTTTACGTTCATTACGACCCGCGCGGAGTTGCACCTGGGGTGGTGGTGGTAGTAGTAGTAGTAGTAGCTCTGAAATTTAAGCGGCATACCCGGGCCGTAAATGGACTTGTGGTGTACTTCTAGGCAAATGACGCCGTTTTCCTGAATGCTAATAACCGCGCGAGCCGGGCATTCTCCCTGCGTGACGTAGCAGCGACGGGCCCGCCCGGCACGGCTCGGTCCGGCACGGCACGACTCGGCACGGCACGGCACGGCACGGCACGGCACGGCACGGCACGGAACGACTCGGATCGCCTAGACCTCGCGTGTAGGTTTAACGCAGGGGTTCCCAACGGGATTTTTTTAATTGTTTTATTATCCTTGTTCGAGAACATATGTCTTTCAAGGCGTTTAAGGTTACATAATTTACAATACGGTTTTGAACTATATTTCTATGTACACATGTTTAGAGCTAAGTACTGCTAAGAATACCAAAGACGGGTCCTTCAGAAAAATACATAAATATTTTGAGTACACATACATTTGAACCTTTTTTACAACTAATTACGGAGAATATAGTAGGTCTTTAAAATATCTTGATTTGATTCGTGGAAAAAATTGACTGATTTACCTAGAATGTACAGGCGCGAGGCTGGGTAAGATAAAAGAGAAGAGTAGAAATGGGAAGAAAGTTAAAGAATCCAAGTTTTTAGGTTTTAAAATTTGGTCATTTATGATCTGCAATGGTGCTTTTAGAGCTTCTCTTAAGAATTTGTGTTGTAGTACTTCCAGTTTCCGAAGGTTGCTTTTAGCGGAACCTCTCCATATTTGGCAAGCGTATGTAAGTGAGGGTCGAAAATGTATTTGAATATTATTAATGCTTAGTCTATTGACAATTTATATTTTCTATTTATGAATGGATACAATTAAATACAAATTTTTATGCGTGTTTTATTAGTTATTGTTGTTATGTGTTTTTTTCGGGTTAGTTCAGTGTCTATTTGAAGTCCAAAATATTTTACAGAAGTGTCATTTGGAAGCCATTTAACTACATCATTATTAATTATTAGAGGATAAGTAAGAAGAATCCGTTTTAAGGAGAATATTGTGATTTTTAATGATTTATTATTTTCCAATCATTGAACCAAGAAATGAGGAAAATTTAGGTCATCTTGGAGATTATCTCTACCTAAATGAAGATCGCTATGAGTTGTAAATATTGCAGTGTTATCCGCCAAAAGGGCAATGTTTGAATGTAAGGCATATCAGAAATAAAAACATTGAAAAGTGTGATAAAGGAGATCCTTGGGGAAGTCCAGCTTGTATATTGTGATCAGTTGAAAGAGTATTATTTATTTGTACTTTGAATCTTCCATTAATTAGAAAGGATTTTATTATAATTTGTAAATAATTTTAAAAACCAATATTTCGCGATTTAAAAAGTAGTCCGTCATGCCAGATTTCATCGAATGCTTTTTTAACATCTAGAAACATAGCAAGGGTATGCCGTAATTTTTGGAAACGAATGGCAATATACTCTGTTATGCGTAGCAATTGATGAGTAGTTGAATAGTTGTGTCTAAAACCAAATTGACTACTAGGAAGAATTTATATTTTCATTAACAAATTTATTAACCCTGGTTAAAATTGCTCTTTTAAAAATTTTTGAAAAGTTTAACAACAAACTAATTGGCCTAAAATTTTCAGGTATAGTTTAATGTGTATTGGATTGACGAATTGGTAGAATAAGTGCAGTTTTCCAGGAGTTTGGAAAGTAGTTGAGACTAAAACAAGCATTATGTATATCTGTTAGTGAGCTGAGGATGGGATATGGTAAATGTTTAATTTCAATGTTAGGAATTAGACCTAAGCCTGGAGATTTCGTGTTTTTAAGTTTGGAAATTATGTACTTGATTTCTGATGGAGAAATATATTGAATTCTTTCAGGAACTGTATAAAGTGAGTTAGCTAATGTTTGAAAACCGTTTTGTGTAAAGGCATTATTATAGGGGAGATTGTTAGTAAAGGAGAGTTCAAAATTATTTGCCAGTAGCTCTGCTTTTTCAGAATCTGTAGTTGCCAATGTGTTGTTATTATTATTATTTTTAATGGAAGTAATTCTTTATTGTCATTCGTTATGTGTATAATTGCAGACCCGAGGGAAGCAGACTTAGGTTGAAGTTCAGATATATAGTTTTTAAATTTTGAAAACCTGTGTTGTTCTAGTTAATAAACTTCTGTGTTGTTCTAGTTAAAATATTTAACTTCGTGGATGAGGCGATTTAAGGTAGTTTTTATGTCAATATCGCGAGCGATTTGCCATTTTCTGCAAGTTACATGTTTGAAAGATATTAAATTTAATATTTCTTTTGGTTGGAGAGGTGTGAGGTTATTGCTATTATTTCTAAGTTCTTGAAGGTCGGTACAAATGTCTGTGAATGTTTTATTTTTCTAATGATTATTATTGCCACCCCACCACCACCAAGTAGACAGGCTCTATCTTCTTGGTATGTGATATAATTTGGAATATTAACTTTTTTAGCATTGTTTAGGTGGGTTCAGTAATGAACGCTGTATTAATTTTTTGATCATTTAGATAATGTTTGAATTCATTAACTTGACGGCATAGTCTGCTAGAATTCCTGTTTAATAATTTTATTTTATGGAGATCCATTATTGATTATTCTTGGTAATACCTCTATTATTAATTGATGAATTTGTGGGATTAAAATATTTAAAATTTGAGTTGTTATACTTGGGATATATTTATTAAAATCTATTGTAGTAGGAGGAGATGGGACAAAGTTATTATGAAGGTACGTTTGAGAGTTTGTTGAAAGTGAGGGTAGATGGGGAAAGTTCTGTTAATTATTAATCAAAGGAGAAGGAGGAGAGGAAAGAGGAGTTTTGTAATTTGAGAGGAGGCTTTGAGAGGAGTTGAAAATTAAAGGAGTTTGAGTTGTCTGTTTTTTTTTGTTTTTTTTTTAAATAGTCTGTAAACGATATTTACTGAGAATGCTAGACCTAATTCTAACTTAATTTCTTCATTACTATACGATGTCGGTATGTCATAAATAATGGCTGAAAGTACTCTTTTTGTTGGATCACTATAAGTAAAGTAATGATTGTTATTTACATCACAATGTTTTCTATACTTTCTGTACTCCTATATTGTTTGGAAGAATATAGAGACATAGTCGTTTTTAATTTTAGTACTAAATTTATTCTTTACAATTTGCTTAATTTCTAATATAAGTGTAATGAAATTTCTAAACGTACCTGAAGTTTTACTTATATTTATTGGAGGTATTTTGGGTGGTTCTAAATTAGTAGTACAAGAATCATCTCTAACTTCAAGTTCTTGTAAGTGATTACCAGTGGAAATATTATACACTGGTTGTGAGTCTTGCAAACTGACACTTTCTTCATTGCTCATTCCTCGTTTACGTTTTGAACTATTATAATCACTTAAATGAGAACTTTCACTTGGATGAAGTGCACTATTTTGTGTAGAGTTTTGTCACTCACTTGGAACATCCATTGAACTGTTTGGGTTGTGGGACGGATTTTGCTGAAGTAGCCGTTGAAGTTCCTGCGACTGTTGAAGAACTACTATTTCATGTTCCAGGGCTTGAATTTTAGCTTCTCTGTAGATTTCACCGCCGTTTGGATTTTTATTAGTCACTTCCATTGACTGCACAATTAACCGCGAGATTTCAAGTAGCCCGCCGGGGAGGGGGCACTATCCACACTCAGTTTGACAGATAAATCGTTGCACTATGATAAGTAACTACTAATCTAAGTTCGGAATACACTGGAGCGCGGCGGCCGGCGCAGGTCGAGAGCGCACTGACAACGCTGCCTCAACGTAAGATAACAGCTGCCTCAATACGAAGTGTTCGCCTCGGCGGCTCGAATCGGACTGCGCCCTACGGGATCGGTAGGGATCCCCTGGGGGTCAATGAAATTTTTGAAGGGAGTCAGTAAAGACAAGGGGGTCAATAGCCGAATATAATCCGGCGTCTTATCAACATAATCAAGATCACATTGCTTCCAAATATCTTATGAACTTCATTAATTTATTCCTTATACAAGAAATTAATTGTGTAGTAATAAATTACACATTCGCTCCTACTCTTTCGTATCACTTTTCATTCTTAGCAATTAAGGATTTAGGATGTTTAAAAAACTAAAGAAATTATAACGATGCATTGACAAGGATATTCCATTGACCAAGAAAGTACCCTCCGCAATAGGCATTGGAGAAATGTTATGACCTGTTCTTAAAAAACACCCAACGTTTTGTAACAATTGCTTTTATATTAGAAACTCTAAAAAGCGCAAAGTGTATTGGTTAATTGCAAAATCGGTGTATTTACGAGAATATTGGGGTAACAAAGGCCTTTTTAAGGCATTTATGATCATGTTTTTGTCTGATTTTTTTATGCTGAGTACTATACGAAAAACTTAAGACTTCGATGTAGAGAACGTTCCCTTAAAAACGGTCGATGGAAGAAAAAGGTTGGGAATCCCTAATCTAACGGGACGCACGCGATTGGGGGGAGGGGGGGGACGTGAATTTCGGGGCAGACTGTGCCTCCGCGAGGGACGTCTTTGTCGCACGGTCACTCTCACTGTTTCTTTTAGTACGTGTCGCCGCAGTGTAAAGAAAATTAAGAAAGAAAGAAAAAAGAAGGAAGGAAAGAACGGAGACGGCTGAGGGATTTTGATCGCTCTACTCACTCAGGAATCAAGAATCGAGTGTCCTTCCTTTTTACACGCGCGGCCCCTTAAAACTCGATTTTTAGGTTCGTCGCCGACTCTGTCCGCGAGTCGGTTCGCATTTCCTAGTGGTCGTTTTTGCTGGGGGAGAATAGTCAATGAATTAATTTGACCATATCATCCGGTTCATTAATCGAAAAACGAACAGTGGGAAGAGAAAAAAAGCGACGCTGAAACATAGAGGGACAATAGATGTAGAATTCCCACTCCAAAACTCGACTTGTACAGCTGCATATTATTAGACGCACCTAAATTTTCGATAAAATTCAGTTTTGTGAGTCGAAAAATGTATTTTGATATTTCTAAACGACATTCATAAGTAATAATTGAATACGTACGATAGAAACATATCATATGCAAAATTATGACTGTCATATAATATATAAACTAATTTTCAAATAAAAAAATCTCCATGCACATGTATTCTTTAATACTTTGTCAGGCCACCTTGGCGCTTATAGAGCTTCTCATTTTTTTCGGTATGATATTCGCATGCCTGGACAGTTTTTGCAAACTCTGGATGATGGTAGCAGTACTTGAATTATTTTAGCTGGCGAATTTTTGTTTGTTATTTCTTAATTGCGTTTCCTCTTTATGAGCTCCCAAACATTTTTATTGGTTCATATCTGGTGAATTTCCTGACCATGGTAAACACACGAACATTTTTCTCAACAAAAATGATCGAGCTGTTCGAGCAGGTATGACTTGAGCCATCTCGCATAAAACAAATGATTCTTCATTTGAGAACCATTCCTGTATTGAGGCAGCAGTGTTTCTCCAATACTTGTTTGTACTGGTCTGTTTCATGATGCCCTTAACCAAGTACA